GGAAATCCATTCAGACTGTAGTAGTTTTGTATCTTATTTGGAGTCTGTTTAGGGTGTGAGGTAGTCTTCTACCCATATGACATTGCTGTGGTAGAGTTTTTCATGCCTTGGGCGATAGCAGGTTCTTAGTCTAACTTCACTGCTGCAGAGGAGGGTTAGGCAACTACCCTGCCTGAGTTTCTCTCTGAACTTTTGACTCAAGAGGAGACCTGCTTCCGTTCAGGAGACATAAGGCCTGTGAATTAGCAGCCACCTCTGTCAGACAGCTGCTACAGCTAGGCCAGTCCAAGGTGTTCTGGGCCAAAGGCTTTGGGAGAGGAGAGGAAATGAAATGGCTTCACCTGTGATACTGATGTCCCTGGTGCATTTCAGAGGGGCAGCAGCAGGTCATCTTCTGGGTGTTGTGGCTGGGGCATCCCAGCTTTGGGTCCAGATGGTGGAGTTTGGTCCTCCAGGTGACAAGAACCGGACTTTCAGACAGTGGGGGCAGGACTTTCAAGTGGTGGGAGTAGGACTTCCAGGCTACTGGACTGGAACTTCCTGGTAGGAGGCGGAGTGTTCAACCAGTGGGACTGAGACTTATAAGTGAAGGACCGATGCTGGATGTTGGTCTTCCAAAGGATGAGCAGGAGCATGCAGACAGCTGAATAAGGTCTTTCAGTCAGCAGGTTAAGGACTCAGACAGCAGGGCTGTGGGGGGTGGGGCGGGGTTCTAGTCAGAGGAGATGGGCCCCGCCAGGCAGCAGTGTTGTGGTCTAGTGCTCCAGGCAAGAGACCAGTCCAGGACACCTAAGAAATTTTTAAGCCAGATACTTAGCTAATTGACTGGACAAGCGGCGGTGTGCAGAAGTGGCACAGCCCAAAATACAGATTTGCCTAACATACAGATTGATTAGGTATGGAGAAAGGATACAGTCCTGACAAACACCTTTCTTGATTTTAAACCATGGAGTATATCTATGCTCTGTTTGGACAACAACCTCTTCGGTCTAGGTATAGGTTTCACATGAGCACAATTAAGTTTTCTGGTATCCCCATTCTTCTCAATGTTAATCGCAATTTGTCGAAATCCATACAATCCAATGCCTTTGCATAGTTGATAAAACACAGATAGACATCCTTTTGTATTCTCTACTTTCTGCCAAGATCCAGCTAACTTCAGCAGTGATATCCCTGATGCCATAGCCTCTTCTAAACTCAGATTGAAATTCTCGCAGTTCTCAGTCATTGTACTGTTCTAAGAACTGTTTCAAAATCTTCAGCAATATTTTGCTTGTGATGTTAATGATAGTATTAGTTTCCATATTCTGTTGAATCACCTTTTGGCTTAGTGGTAAGGAGTTGCACTGCCAACCAAAGACAAGCAGTTTCAATCCACCAGCCATTCCACAGGATAAAGATGGGTTGTCTCCTCCCATATGATTTGCTGCCTCTAAAAACCTGCTGGAGGGTCAGCTCTGCATCAGTTCTGACTCAATTATACACAATAACAACAATATACCCAGCAGTGCAAATAACTTTGGCATATTTGCACTACTTGTTTAATTGATATTTGCACTTCCAAATTCTTAAGAAAGTGTCATACCATTTTCCACAAGGATTACACTGTCTTCTTGCCCTACCCACCAGCAGTGTATGAGAATTCTAATCTCTCTCTCTCCTTTCCAGCATTTGTTGAATTCTGTCTTATTTAACTTTGCTTTTAATGCTATGATGAGATGATAGCTCAAATCTCTAATGGCTAAAGATTGCAAATATTTCATCATGTTTGTTGGCCACCTGTATGTCTTCAGTGAAGTGTTTACTCATGTTCTCTATCCATTTTTAAATGATATTGTTTGTCTTTTTTTGTTGAAGTTTTCTATGTATTTTCTAAATTTCTCTCTTTCAAAATGTATATTGACAATCATTTCTCTCCCTTTGGTGAGTTCTTTTGATGTGTGTATACATTTAATTTGTAGAAGGTTCCAGTCATTTAGCTTATCTTCTGCTGTTTGTGTATTTTTAATTATGCCTGATAATCTATTAGTGCCACAAATTAAGATTTCTAAGTTTTGTGTTCTTTTTTATTTGATGATCTTTTCAGATTTTACATTTAGATCTTTAATCCAGTTTGTTTTTTTTATATAAACTCATTGTTGTCCAGTCAAACTGACTCATAGCTGACCCTCTAGAGGGTGTTCCTGGCTGGAAATCACACAGGTGGGACTTACTTATCTTCCTCCCACATAGCTGATGGATTAAAAAACTCCAAAGAGATGTTATCTTTGGGTTAACAGTGCAACTTTCTATAACCATACTACCAGAATGATAATAGTGTGAGATATCTAGCTTGTTTTCTTTACTGCAAATAGATATGTAGTTTTGCCAGCACCATATGTCAGAGAGACTCTTTTTTCCTTCATTTAATGGATTTTTAACCTTTTGTCAAAGATCAGCTCTCAATATGGATTTACTTCTAGGTTTTTAGTTCTGTTCCCTGTCAATTCTGGGTTTGTTATTGCACCGGTAGCAGGCTGTTTTGAGTACTGTGGCTTTATAATAGTATTAAACTGTGTGAGCATGGGTTCTTGGTTTTCTAAAGAAAAATAATGGCTGAAACATGGGAAACAACTGGCTATGTCACAGAAGAAGAGCCGTAGTGATCTGCTTCAGAATGGTCACTGCACAGCCTTGAAAACCCTATGAGGTATGTTTACTGTGCACACATGGCTTCACTTAGAATCAGCATTAATTTTACAGCAACTAATAACAACTCTTTAAAAATTGTGGTGTTAGGATATGTACAGACACTTCAGCAAAGAAGACATTCAAATGGCCAACAAGCACATGAAGAAATGTTCAAAATCCCTAGCTCTAAGAGAGATGCAAATCAAAACATCTATGAGATATCATCTCACCCCAGCAACAAGAGCAAAATTCAACAGAGCAGCAAACAACAATTGCTCCTTCGGTTGTGGAGAAACTGGAACCCTTATTTCACTGTTGGTGGGAGTGTAAAATGGTGCAACCACTGTGGAAGAAAGTATGGTGCTTTCTCAAAAAGTTGCAAATAGAAATACCATTTGCCCTAGCAATTAATTGTTGCTTTATTCACATTAGCAAAGAGTTGGAAACAGACTAAGTGCCCATCAACAAATGAATGGATAGAGAAGCTCTGGTATATTCACACAATGAAATACTATGCTGTATTGAAAAACAAGGAACTCACGAAATATTATTCAAAATGAATGACCCTGGAGGACATTATGCTGAGTGAACTATCTCAGTCACAAAAGGACAAATACTGCATATTGCCACTGTTGTAAAACAAGACTGACTTAGGGGTTGGGGGCAGAGACTGAGAAATATGGGATAAATTATGTATACTGCATTGAAACAGATGAGAGAGAGAACTGTTTAAAAGGTATATGTGATTATGTATTATTGTCATGATATGAGTTCAGAACGAAAGCTGCATAGTGGAGTGGGCTTTGGGGGAGGGATTGTATAACAATGAAAGAATTTTTTCTTTTACTTTTCAAAGAGAAGAACAAACTAGAGGGGAGGTGTGGGCAGGGAGAAATGTGCAACAATGAATGAATGGAAATCCAAAATCGCTATATATTTTCATTAAAATTAATAATAATGATAATAATATAATAATAATAATAATAATAGTGGTGTAAAACCCCTATGAATTGCCTTTTTTAGTGATTACATTAGCCACCATTGAAGGAAGGGGGCATGGTCTCCAGCTACCTTATTGCAAACACAGGGTCTTGCAAATCATCAACTGCTTTGGGACCAATATAAGAGAGCTTTTCACACTGTGAGGTACCCTGGTAATGATGATGATGGAAAGAGAGAAAACAGTGGCACTGCTGTGAAGAGACTGTGGCAAAGTTAACCAGAGGAACCCTGCATTTATGCTACAGTTAAAGGTTTTGCTTATTGGATGATTGAAGGAAAACCTGACCTTAAACTGCTCTGAAATGAAATTTGCTGGATGATCAAGGAAACCAGAGGCTTCTTACATTTGTGCTGCTGATTTGAACCTGGACTGTCACTAATTGAGGAATTTCACCTTATTAATCTGATTTGGGATTGCTGAACGAAGTCTGCACTTGATTTGTGTGATAGTCTTTGCCTCTTCCAATCTCCAACATATTTCCATAATAAACTCCACAACTGTGAGTAATGTTTGTGAGTCAGCAATGGATTCAGATGCAGTGATTGGTAGAATTAGGTGCAGGAGCTTGGGGAAAGTAACATGTGTGACCAACCAGCTGTCTGTTTGTTGCTATGAGAATTATTGATGGGGATAGTTCCCCTTTATGAAGTGGGTAGAATTCAGGTTTGGACAAACCTGTGTTGCAGTTGCTCTTTTTACAAAATTAAGAATTAAAAAATTGGCACTTTTGAGAGGAGAAAAGACAGGCAACAATGTAGAGCAAGAAACTTCTAATCTTTCAAACCTTGATGTTTGTACTCTAGAATATTCCTTACAAATGGACATAGTCTCTTACAGAGAAAAATCCCAATATAAACCCAATTAATTATTTTTCTTTGAGATCTTTTTACAAGATCTACTTTCATAATAGAAGTGACTGAGGAACAGATTTCAACCAACAGAAACACTGTTACTATTTATTTAGCAGTCCTCTAGTATAAATAGATTATTGGATTTTGTTGCTGAGCACATTTCTTTAAGGACTCAAAAATAAATAGAAGCTGGATTGAGAAACCTTGCAGTAAGAAAAGGGAAGATGTGACAGTTGTGAAAACAAAAAGAAAGAATGTGCTTTAAATTCACCCTTAGCTTTGGGGATTCGTTATTCTAATATTAGGTAAGCAGTTTTGTTTTGTTTTAATTGTGATTTGAGTGAAAGTTTACAGAGCAAATTTGGTTTTCATTCAACAATGCATACACACATTTTGTTTCTTGACATTGATTGCAATCCCCACAGTTACCTTTATATTTAATCATTAAATATTAATGATGATTTTTTTGCTCCCAGGTTGACGATTACCCAGAGTTTTTGAATGGACCAGACAGAGAAATCAACCAACACATTCGTATCATCTATTCTTCAACTTCCTTGAAAAAGGAGTGTAGAAAACCAAAAGGTGCCAGGAAATTCCTGCTACCATTTCATCATGCCACTGCTAAAGACAAAAAAGGTGTGTAATATATTTTCTTCAAGCGAGACAGATACATAAAATGTTTCTTCTAACACTTTTTAAAAAAGATCATGTTCTTTTTTTTAAAGGATGGCCTAATGAACCCGTTGTCAACAGTACAGTGCCTAGCAGAGAGTTGGCCATAAATAGGTGTATGTGGAGAGGAAGGGAAGAAAGGAAGTGTGGACTTAAATGTTGGTTTATAAAAAAGGGGTGTATTAGAAACTTGATGCCTTTGGTCAGTTCTTAAAAGATTTAATAATCTTTTTAGAAACCACAGATTTTAAAGAGAAAACTAGAGAAAAGAATCCACTGAGTGACTGGAGGATTATAAACCTGATTTTAGGACTTAACCCTTGATATTCATCTCTGTGAGTCTTGGGCTTCCATGAAGGAAGCTACAAGGTTCTGTCCTGATAATTATGGAAAAATACTCACTTACAAACATACAGTGAGAAAACTAGATTGAGAGGGAAAATTGGAACAGCTTATTTTACATTTTAAGCTGCAGGAAGTAAACTCAAATTTAGGGTAGGTACCATTACAATTGAAGTCAGAAGATTGCAAAAATATGTATTAAACTGCTTATTGTCTTTTGGACATTGAGCAATGGCAAAGAATGATCTTCAGCCGCCCAAATACTACGAGGTGATGGAGTTTGATTCTTTAGCTCCTGCTGGTACTACAGAAGCTATCTATGAAGAAATTGATCCTCATCACAAAATAACTCAAAATCACTGGACTTGCAGCTCACAGGCCAACCATAAGCGCCAACTCTAAAGGCTGGCTGACATCTGTCCGGCTCTGAAGCCTGGAAGAGAGAGGAGACCTGGTCAGGACTGGAACATTTCTCCTCTGCAATAAGGAAGTTTAAGTAGAATTGTAATAGTTCCAGGATAACATTTACGGTTCTGCATAAGTGCTAAGATTTATCTGAAAACTTGTTTGTAACATAGACTCACTTAAAACTTTAGCTGAAAAAAAAATTTATTATACATCAGCTCTCCAGTTTAATTTCAGGGTCTTAGATTGTACACAAGACATCCAACAGTTGTGATATAAAATTAAATGAAGATTATTACAGAATAATTCAGAAGAGATGTAAACAAAAGGTGAAAAACTAATGGTGTTATTCAGGAAGAACACACAGTATCTTCTTTTCACTAATGTTGAATGTTAAAATCAGTTTGCACTTCTTGATAAATAATAATCTTGTTTAGAACTAGGAACTGTAAAAGCCTTGATCATTTTAAGGATCACTGGACTCTGCATCAAGTTACAGTTAAACTTGGTCCTTTATTATGTTAACTTTTTTACAGTAATTTAACATTTCTATTTAGAACCATTGCTGGAAGACATTCAGAATAAGCTGGGTATTCGTTTACACAGATAAAATGACAAATAAATTACTATTAAAATTAAAAAAATAACATATAGTGAGAATCCAGGGAGAAAAAAAAAACCCTACTGACTGGGAACAAACATTTGTCAATACGATCTCAGACAAGGTCTCATAATGAAAGTAACAGAATATTGGGCCTCCACAGGAAAAAGACTGATAATTCAATTACAAAGTGGGATAAAGACATGGAAAAAATTTTCACAGAGGAAGTTATTTGAATGACAAACAGACACATGAAGAAATGCTCAAAATCAATGGCAATAAGAGAATGCAAATTAAAACCACAATGAGATACCCTCTCACTCAAGTAGCAGTGGCAAAGTTTAGCAGGGCAGCAAGTGATAAATGTTGGAGAGGATGTGGCAAGATAAGAATTCTTATACATTGTTGGTGGGATTATAAAGTGGTACAATCACTCTGGAAGGCAGTTTGGTGCTTCCTCAAAAAGCTGCACATAGAAATTCCATACGACACTGCTTAGAATATACCCTTAGAAAATGAGAACTGAATGAACTTGGGGGGTGGGGTAGAGAAAATAGTGCAGCAGTGAATGAATGGAAATCCAAAATCTCTGTAAATGTTCATTAAAATTAATAAATTTTTTTTAAAAAAAGAAAATGAGAACTGAGGCCCAAACAGAGTCTTGTAAACCAATGTTCATAGCAATTCTATTCACCATTGCAAGAGCGTGGAAACATTCGAAATACCCAACCAGAATGGAATAGATTGAGACATTATGATATATTCATATGATGGAATACTATGAAGCACACAGGAGGGACTGGAGAGCATTATGCTGAGTGAACTAACTCAGTCTCATAAGGACAAATGCTGTATACAACATTATTGTAGAATGACTATGAAGATCCAAGCTAGGGGAAGGTGGAAACAGAGGAGTGAGAATGAGCTGGGGGTGGCGGGGGTTGTGTTTAATTATATAGAGTCATACAGAGTGATGGGTGGGGGTGTGGGGTGAAGGAAATGGGAAAGATCAGGTGTGAAAAATCAATGTATTTGAACTTTGTAAATAAACTAGTATAAAATTTTTACAAAACATTATTACAAGAAACAAAAAAAAAAGCCTAGAGAAGTGGAAGAATATCCCTTGCTCATGGATAGGAAGGCTCAGTGTTGTGAAAATGGCAATACTACCAAAGGCAATATACACATTCAATGCAATCCCAATACAAATACCAATTCCATTTTTCAATGA